AGGCAGTTTTCAGGGAAGCCCACCCAATAGACTTCCCTTCTCATGCTGGGTGCCTTTAATAGGCATCAGTAACATCTGCTCACCCGGTGCAGAGCAGGTTCACATGAGTTACATCATTTAATCCCCCCAAATACCCTGTGAGATGGATCCGACGATGCCCACTCCACAGAGAGGAGAAACTAAGGATTGGGTGCAATTAAGTGCCTTGCACGTGTCACAAACCAAACACACAGCAGAGCTGGGATTTGAACGTCAGTCTTTCTGACGCCAGGGCCTCTGCCACCGTCCAGCCACTCGCAGACCCTGCCAAAGGCCTCAGAACGAAAGGCCACTGTATGTAACACGGTATCTTGGGTTTGGGCCTGGAACAGACAAAAGGATATTAGCAAGAAAAACTATTGAAATCCAAATAAGGTTCAATTGATCGCGATGGACCAACATTGGTTCTTTAGTCTTGACAGATGTCTCACGGTCGTGTAAGATGTTAACCTGGAGAAACTGGGTGAATGGGATACAGAAACTCTGCGCAATCTTCACAAGTTTTCTGTAAATCTAAAATTATTACAAAATTTTAAAATTTATTTAAAGAAGAACGAAAGGCCAATTGTCAAGCATGACGAATCACGTACACGTTCCAACCTGGGCCTAGGACTCCGGGGGCTCGGGGAGGTGACTTCTGTGAGCTCACAGACTGCACATTCTCAGAGGCTCTCTGCCCACGACATGGAACCGTATAATGGCTACGTCCTGCCTCCCCCAGTGTATTTTTACAGTTAATTTCTATTTGTGGAAAGTTTTCTGGTTTTCTATATATCGTTTTGCTATTAATTTTTCTGTTTAAACAAATTATTTTGTTTTTTTAAACATGAATTGATTTAAAGATCAATCTTGAGTAAATAACAGTACAAAAGAGATGGGGATTCAGCCACAATCAGGAAAGTGGTTCAGGAATGACTGAAATGTGGGAAATTGAGCAGAAACGGAGAGCACGTTTCTCAAAGAGAAAGGGTGCCTTGGCCTGGTGCTCCTATTGTCACACTTGAGCACTGACACGGTGACCCAGCAGAGTGGGAAGTGCTCCCCTGGCTGGACAGAGAGGAAACCAGACTCCTGGCACCTTGCACGTGCTTGAAAGGCCATCTGCTCGGAAGCTGCACGAAGGCTTCTGGTTTCACGTGGAATGTCAAGCTGGATCGCGTCACGGGGGCCTCTGAACTCTGGGTTTCTGATGCTGGGCACTTCCATTCCTCTGTGCAGCTAACCCCTCTCCCGTCATCAAGGACACCCACATGTGGGCATCTCTGGGAGCAGAAGGCCCCAGAGGCCGATTGTGCAACAGAGACCCTGGAGAGGAGAATCCAAAATCTATTGTCTCAGCGGTGTGTGTCACCTGCTCAGTGAGGACGACCTGACCACCACCAGCCCCTCCAACCTCCCTTACCCTCTCTACTCAATGTCTTTATTATTGCTCAGTGTCTGCCTCTGTCTACTAGCCTTGAACCTCCGCAAGGGCAAGGAGCTTTGTATATTTTGTTCACTGATGTGTCTCAAGCCCCTAGAACAGTTCCTGGCACAGAGTGGACGCTCAGCAAATATTTGCTGGCTGGCTGGCTGGCTGGCTGGTTGGATGGACAAATGTCCCCAAAGAGTCCGAGCTCTGTGGCTTTCTAGCTGTGGAGCCTAGGGCAAATTATGTGGTCTTGGTGACCTCGGTTTTCTCAGCGGTAAAATGGACCGCTCACATGATCTTGAAGGGTGGCGGGTCAGTGGGGTGACGAAGGCACTTGTGTGGTACCAGGGTCATAAGAGGCATTTAGTACTTGTTGGTTACATCAAAGTCAGAACCCATTCATTCGCTCGTGAGGTCAGTCAGTCCACAAACATGTGGCCTGGGAAGGCTTCTTAGAAGAAGGAGGAGTTGACCTTTTCCGGAAGGATGAGTAACACTCTGAAAGGAAGCGGTGGGCGTGGGAGAGAATGGGGAACAGGAACACAGCAGGCAGGGTGGGATGGCGTGAGCAGATGCACGGAGGTGGCAATGCAGAGGGTGTGTTCTGCAGACCCACATGAGAAGCAGGCACGGCCACATCCCCATGCGCAGGCCTGTCAGGCTAAGGCACGAGGCCTTCCCTTCCAGAGGAGAGGAGAGCTCGGAGGGCACTGGCTGTGTCTGGAACATGGGTGATCGCTGTGGCAGTCTCTGTTCTCAGCAAACACACACTGAGCATGTTCTCTGTGGCATGCAATGGCCTGGGCACTGGGGACACAGGGACACCCAGTCTGCAGCCAGAGGGACACTTAGCACCAGTTTGCCTAGGTCGCTCTCTAACTAAACACCTGTGACGGCCCACCATTATTCTTCAGAGACCAGCATTCTCCCTGTGGCCCACAAGTCCCCAGCCTACCTCTTCAGTCTTGCCACCCACCTCCTCCTGCCTTATTTTGTTGCTTTGGCAATATTAATCTCATTTCAGTTGCTCGTTCATGCCACCTCCCCACCAGGGGCTTTGCACATGCTGTTCCCTCTGCTGGGTCGAGTCTCCCTCTGCTCTCACCCCAACTTCTACCCTTCTTTTTATTTCCCAGATATTATTTTTTTATTTATGTAGTGCAGAATGAAAACATGGCTAGGAAATCATATAGAAAAATATTTAAGATGTGCAACAGTCATTTTTAGATAAAGTTAGTTAAAAGGAAGATGAATAAAGCACTAGAGCTTATTTAAAAAACCAACCAGTATTTTATATGTTATTAACTACGCTGGGAAAAACACACCTATAGGCGGTTGTTGCTTGTTTGTTTTTGTGAGAAAGATTAACCCTGAGCTAACATCTGTTGCCAATCCTCCACTTTTTGCTGAGGAAGACTGGCCCTGGGCTAACATCTGTGCCCATCCTCCTCCACTTTATATGGGACGCCGCCACAGCATGGCTTGATAAGTGGTGCGTAGGTCCACACCCGGGATGTGAACCCACAAACCCCGGGCCGCCTAAGCGGGGCGCATGAACTTAACCACTATGCCACTGGGCCGGCCCCGAGGTAGTTTTAATTAATAGCTATAGTTCAAAAACAGAGAAGCTCCCAGCATTCAGAGCTCTCCCCAGTGGTCACATCCTGAAGCCTTGCTGAGCCCCCAGACTGGGTCTGACCCTCTTATTATATCCTCTCAAAGCACACCGAGATCATCTTTGGTCATGCTCCCTGGAGCTGATGATCATAAATTTACGTGTGTGGTTACTCGATTCATGGCTGTTTCTTCCACGGGATATTAACTCCCCCTTTTTGTATCAGCAACTAGTCCAGAGATCGCTGCCCCATAAATCACTGTCTAACACAGGATTGATTGCAGCCCACTGGGGGCCGGAGAGAAAATTCAGACCCAGGAGCCATCACAATGTGTGGAGGTGAGTGCTTTATTGAAGGGCTGCTTGGAAAATGCTGGAAAGGTAGAGAAAATTTCATAAAGAGGTCATAATGGACTGGGCGTTGAAGGATGAGTAGGAGCTGGTTAGGAAGGAGGGCATTCCTGGTAGAGGGGATGGCAAAGGCAAGTTCCTAGAGTGCAGCTTTTAGGAAACAGCTCATTGGTTCATCTCAGAGGCCTGAGTGAAGGTGGAAGAAAATCACAGCAGTGGCTCTCTGCCGAATGCCTACTACATGCCAGGCATAGCTTCTGTGCAATCTTATGTAACCTCAGAGATCCTCAGCCCTGTCGGGTAGATACTGTTACCCCCTTTCAACAAGGAGGGACTGAGGCTCAGAGGGGTTGAGCAACATGCCCAAGTCACCCAGCTACTAAGTGGCTTACATGGCTGTCCTGTGTCCCCAGTGGCCTATGTTGCAGACTTGAGTTGACCGCTGAGGAATTCCATGTTCGTCTGGTGTCTTCCCACCCCCACCCCCTCAGGCTGGTGCAGGGGACATGGGGACGGTCAGCAGACACTCTGCATGGATTCACAGCCTTCTGCCGCACATCTGTGTCCCTGGTGCAGGGTCTCGACCTGCTCCCTGTCCCACCCTCTCAAAGCGTCTGCTTACTCTGGTGCTCCCCAATCTTAGCACTGACCACCATAAACCAGCCCCATCCGTCTGCAGGCTGCCTTCTCCATGTGTGTGGGTCAGGTCTCCAGGGCCCTGAGGGTGCCCAGGATGGAGGAGAGGGTAAGTCACTTCACCTCTCTGAGCCTCAGTTTTTACATCTGTCATATGGACATCCATTCTAGCTGCACGCAGGGTAGTGGCCAGAACACAAAAGGCACAGTGAGCTGTGAATTGCTAGACACACCCAGAGGATGACAGTTGATGCCAGCTCAGGCTTCTTAGCGCCATGCCACTCAGGATCCCCTCCTCCCCAAACATCAGCAGCATTGTGCATTCATTGCAGAAGGAATCAGCTGGGGAGAATGAGAGCCCGGTGAGCACTTGGTGCCCCCTAGTGGTCATGGACAGACCCTGCAGGGCCAGGTGTTCTGGGGCAGGTGCATGGGCCCCATTCACTCTCCAGCTGAGCTTGCTAACAGATCCAAGACCCAGGTTCAAACTTGTGTGCTCTGGAATGAGACAAACAACGAATTCAGCCGGCATTGAATCCTAGCTGCTGCTGCTCTAGGTTGCATCCTTCTCATGCCAGACCAGCTCCACCCCTGTTTTGCCATCCGCCTGGACGCCCGCTGAGCCCAGAGCTCCCCTGTGGCCGCTCTGGGGGAGATAACTTCATAGCTCACATGCCCAAGACCTCAGGCCAAAGGCTCACAAAGGGGAACTAACGTCTCTAAAGCAGTGTGCTAGTTTCCTCAGAGCCCAGAGGGCAGTATCATCGCCCTCATTTCAGAAATGCGGAAATAGAGGCTCAGAGAGGGTATATGGCTTTCCCAAAGACACTTAGTTACTAAGATCTGAGCCCAGGTCTCTCTCGCTCCAAGGACCAGGTACTAGCCTTGGCTCACAGCATCCCCAAATTATTCACCAACAGTCAGCAGACCTGGGGGGAGGGGGTTGTTTATTAAATCACAAAACCCCTCTGCCTGCCAGGGGGAGAGATCACTGCCAAATGGGTGGGGGTGGCACATCTGATCTGATATTTGAATGGGCAAGGGGGCGATAAGGGAGGAAACGGCACACAGAAGCCCCGAGAGCCAGGGCTGCCTGTTCGGACAGGGGTCTTGGGAGCTCATGATAATGTGGGATTAGACTGGAACATCCCTGTGGTCTCAGTCCCAGGAATATGAAACGTTTTCAGCCCCAGGCCATGGTTGGGGTTGTAGCAAGCTGGAATCCCCCCTTATTTCCCAGTAGGATTGGCAATCCTTCCCAAGAAGAGCACCGTATTCGTGATCTTCTCTTTAATCATCAGCAGAAAGGGTCTGTTGATCTTGACTGTGAATGGCGTCTCCATGGGCAGCGTCTGCACTCCGGAGCCCGCAGCCCCCTCTGAGCCCTTCTCATCCATCTTCAGCTTAGCCTTGTGTATCGCCTGTGGGAACCGGGAGCGAGGTCAGTGCTTGCCAAGCCACTCAGAGGCCCCTGGGCGGGTCACGGCCCACGAGAGGCTCAGAGAGGGAGAGGCCTCAGCCAAAGTTGCCCAGCATGACAGTAACTTGGCTGGTGCCAGCCGCCCCAGGGCTCCTGGCTCCTCTGCTGTCATCGCTGAAGGACACTGGACAAGCAGAGGCAGCGTGAGGGAATACATGATGCGTGGGAGCATCAGATGCAGAGGGGCGGAGTGGGGATTTCTATCCTTCCTGTGACTTACAGGGATGTGTCAAGGTAATAATGGCAGAAACGATCTGTTGAACCTTGGCTAGATGGAAAGAAGGGAGGTGGGGGCATCTCTACCCCAAAGCCTCCAACCCCCCTGCCCACACTCCTTTCATCCACCTGGTGGATGGTTAAGAGGGAGCCAGATTCTGGGTTAGCTATTGAAGATGACTCGGACCAGATCCACCAGTGCCGTCAACAGGCCAATAGCCGATGTTTACAAATGGAATCACAGCTATGAGCACACCTAACTGTGGGAAATAAACAAGCCATTGAACTTGATGCGTAAAAGCCTCCGGGAAAGGAGCAGCTGGCACTGAGTGTTTATGGGAAGTCTGTGGCATGAAAACCTAAAAGCGAGAAAATTCTATTAACTGCATTTCTTCCTCCTGCAAACTGGAAAAATAAATCTGAGTCAGTGCCTACCGATTCAGAACAATCAGCTCAGCTTGGAGACTCGGATCCCTCCCAGACTGGCTTGACCTTCTCCCTCAGCACCAGCCACTCCCCACCGCCCTCTGCTCCTGCTTTCCCACCTCCCAGCCTTCAGTGATGCTGCTCCGTCTACTGGCAGATCCTCCCACACCCGTCTCCGCTTGTTGAAATCTTGCCCTCCTCAGTGCCCTTTTAACGTAAGGCAGGGTAGCCAGACAAAATACAAGACTTCCAGTTAAATTTGAATTTCAGATAAATGATGAATTTTTTAGGGTAAATATATCCCGTGCAATAGTTAGGACATACTTATACTAAAAAAATTTTTCACCACTTTCCTGAAATTTGAGTTTAACTGGCTTTCCTATATTCTATCTGCTAAATCTGGGGACCCTACCCAGGTTGTCTCTATTTGCCCCAAAGAGGCAAGTGCTCAGACTTGCTGGAGACCAGAGGGCCCCCAGCTCGCTTACGTAGAACATATTTACTGCTTACTCCTAACCAGTCTGCGAAGACTTTGGGAGAGTTAGGCAGACCTAGACCAGTTCTAGGCCTGATAAATGTTCCAGGCCTTGATCACCTGTTTGTTACATTGAATCGACTTCCAAAATAGCACCAAGAGATTGATATTTCCCAATTTTAAAGACTGGAAATGTGAGGACTGGGGAAGTTGTGTGATTTGCCCAGAATCACATGGCTCGTTAGGTGCAGAGCTGGATTCGAGCCTGGTCTGACTGGTGGGTGAAATCCTGGCTTGTACAGCCGCTGTGACAGCAGCTCTGGCCCAGGGCCATGTGACGGCTCGTGGGGGCAGCGTCCAGGCTGGGCAGGCTTACCTCGCCCACTTTCAGGCTGCGACCAGGGGAGATCCTGGTGAGATCACCATTCTCCTCAAAGATCTTGGTGATCCCCAGGTGGGAGAGAGTCTTCTTCAGGTCATAGGTGCCGGTGATGGAGAACCTGGGCAAGGACACGTCTGCAACCCTGGGGAGATGACATTGACACAGATGAGCAACAGGGTCCTACCACTTTCCAGGCAGACCCCAGGGTAGATGATGAATGAGACATTTGTCCTGCCAGCCCCAGAGGTCTCAGACCTTCTCTATCCACAGAACAAGGAGGGACTTCTTAACCCTGGGACCCTGGTTTTAAAACACCCATGCTGTCTGAACTATGTCCCTACTTCCTATCAAACCTGCCCCAGAGCCCTCATTCATAGAAATGTCCTCAAGTCCCCACTGTCTCGGGGCCCCTTCAGCTACCTTGAGGGCCTCCCCACTGCAGGCTCAGCCATGCCCAAGCCCTAAACCAACCCTGATCCTAGCAGGCTTGATGCTAGAGGCAGCAGGGCCCCGGTATCAGAAGCCAGGCAGAACTGAGTTCAGATCCACTCTGCCTCTCATGAGCTCTGTAACTTGGAGCAAATGATCTTACCTCTCTAAGCCACTTGTACCAAAATGACGATGATAATCATAGCACCCACGGGCCGATAAGAGTGCTAAGCAAATGCATGCAAGGTGCTCAGCAGAGAGTCAAGTCTTCGTCCTCCTGCCCCTGAATTAGCAGCTTCATATCCTCTGTGGGTGGCACCAGGTTGGCATCCCCACCTGGGACCTGAAGCCAGGTGTCCTGAGGCACCTGCGGGCCCTGGATTCCTGTCCACCTGGCCCTGGACCCCATTTCTTCTTGCCCATCCATGGACCTCATTCCTGTCTATGTCTCCTCTCTTTCCTGCACCATCCACACGAGGCATCTACTTGATCATTCTCTGACCATGTGCTATAGTAACCCCTATCCTAAAAAACAACAGCGGAAATACCTCCATTGCCCCTGAGTCACCTCTCCAGCTGCCAGTCCATTTCCCCTCTTCCTTTCAGAGCAGAAGTTATCTCTTCCAGTGACCTCCGCGTCCTCCCGTTATTGCCTGAACCCACTCCAATCAGGACCTTGTTGTTAACATTCTACCAAAGCAGCTCTTTCCGGAGTCACCGCTGACCTCAGCTTGCTAGACCCAACATGTCCTGTCAGAGGACAGCACTAGACAGTTGATCCCTGTTCCATCTTGAAGCATTCCAACCGACGTCCACACCTGCCGGGTTTCCCCTCCTTCCCTGAACACTTCTTCTCTCTCCCTTTGCTGGCTCTACCTGGTCACCTGTCTTGTCGTCGTGATGCTCCAAGCTCACCCCGTAGTCCTCTTCTCTTTTCTGCCTTCTCTCCCTCCCAAGGGATCTCATTCAGTGTTGTGTTTGTAAATACCAGCGGTAGGCCCAATGAATCTCAAACTTAGCCTTTCACTCATTCATTCATTCAACAAATATTTATTAATTGCCTACTGTATACCAAGTGCTGTTCTAGATGCTTAGAGCATCCATGAACAGAAAGGCAAAAATCCATGCCCTTGAGTTTGTGATGTAGCAGGGAAGACAGACAACGAAATCAACATTACTAAAAGCATAACATAGGCATAAACACAGAGACGGGGGGTCTATGTATAAGAAGGCAGTAAGTGCTGTGGAAAAAGGACAGATCGCCTTAAGGGAATCAGGAGTGCTAGGGTAAAGGGAAGACTTGAGCAAACTTTGAAGGAGAATGAGAGTTAGGCAAGTTGGGCTTTTTTTTCTGAGTGAAATTGGGAGTCACAGTAGGGTTTTGAAGAGGAGAGACATGGTCTTGCTTAGGGGTTTAAAAGGATCGTTTTGTCTGCTCAAGAATATACTCTTGGTGGTGGGGGTGGGGGTTGATCAACAAGAGTTGATGCTGGGAGACATTTGGAAGCTGGTGTGCTAGTCACATGTTGGGAGTCACAGAGTGGGGGAAGGGATCAGACTCCAGATATATTTTATAGTAAGGCTAATGGGGTCCCCAACAGACTGAATGGGGGGCTGGAGAGAAGACAGTGAGCAAGGATGACCCCAAGGCTTTTAGCTTGAGCAACTAAAAGGATGGAGTCACCATTGAGTGAGATTGGAAGCTTGAGGAGGTCCCATAGTGGGCGATCAGGATGTCCATTCTGGGCGTGTTGAGACTCAGATCCCATCAGCCATCCAGGGGCCATCCTGGGTAAGAAGACGGCTATGTGACTCTGGAATTTGGGAGAGAACTGAGGCTAGGGGTAGAAGAATGTGAAAGTTGTGCTGACACAGATGGTATTGAAAGCTCTGAGCCTGATGTGCTCACTAAGGGGTGAATATTGATGGAAAATAGACCTGAGGAGTGAGCCCCATGGCACTCAACTCTGAGACCTGGAGGAGAGGAGGGTGGCCAGCAAAGGGGACTGAGAAGGAGAGGGGTAAGAGGACCCAAGAGACTGTGGGGTCCTGGAAGCCAGGTGAAGAACCCCTGTTTATGACGGGAAAAATAATGGCATCTTCATATCTCGTGGAAATGACTCAGTAGAGAGCAAAAAGATTTGCTGATGTCAGAAAGGGGAGTTTCTAGGTGACATTCTTGGGTAGCGAGGGGAGATGGGATCCCGTGCACACACGGGGATGTTGGCTTTACTGGTGCCAGAGAAGGAAGGCAGAAGAGGTGGGGTGATGTTGGAAGGTGGATACACATCCCAACAAATATGTAAAAGTGTGATGGCCCCAGGGTGGGGACGAACTCTCGAAATTTTTGCCAGGCAAATGGATATTTCAAAGTCACCAGCAGTTTTGCACCACTTATATGTGGAGCTTTCAATATGCATTTGGGAAAACTGGGCCTTTCCCCTGGGGAATCCACCACAGCAGGCCTCTAATTATGCAAATACAAAGCAAGCATCTGTCTTCTGTGCAGAGTCCAGGCTGAAGTCACCCAGAGCCTAAATTCCCAGGTGTCCTGAGCACGCATCAATTAGGGTGTGTCTTGTAGTTGTGTGTCTGTTGGCTCAGCCTCTCCTAGGCCTTCCAGTCTGGAGGGGACCACAGAAAGAACGCACAAGAGGAGCCCATCCCCCTGCCCTCCTCCGTAGAGGACAAATGGAGTGGTCTGGACTTGACCACTTGCCCCCAGACTGAATGAGCTCAGAAGGTAGGAACATTGACTTATCATGCTTTGATAAAATGCAGTTTCCCCTTTGGGGACCATGGGCAAGACCACTGTCCTGCGAGAGGACATGGAGTTTCCCCCAATGGGGCCGACATCACTGCTCTCAGTCATCCTGGAGCCAGAAGTGACTGGGGACGCAGGACCTCGGCTGGGGTGGGAGGAACACTCCTCTCCACGGTCCTCCTGGCAGGGAGGCTGGCCTCAAGGCATGGAGTTGCTGGGAGCAGTCCTGGCATGATGGAGGAGGCAGACCAGGAGCCAGCTAGGAGGGTACTCTGGAAGAGACACTAAGAGCAGCCCGCACTTGAACTCCATGAGGAGCCACTTCTACGTGCTGCAAGTAGCCCTGGGCCGCTGGGAGGAACTTTGGCTCTGTTAAACCCAAACCTCCAGTAGGGCCTGTGCTGACCTGCAGGAAATCTCAAAGGGCCTATCCCACACCAGGCGGAGGAGCAAAGGAAGGAGTGTAGGCCCCTTTCCTAAAACCAGAGAGACGGTGACAGTCCGCTGGGAACATCTGTGTGCGGTGAGTGGTGGCCTTGTGGTGGTCTCAGCTCCAGAGGCTGCAGAGGGGATGGTGAGGGGGATGTGAAGCACCATTGCTGGCCCCGGAGCTACAGCTCTGTGGGAAATTGTCAGAAATAACTGGGAGAAGAGGATGGGGTGCACTGAGGATGCCGGGTCGAAACAACCCAATGGTGGGGGCTCAGTCACCATAATTTGGATACTAAAGGAAATGTGATATTATGGAGTCCACGTCCCCTGAAGCTGGGACTTCCAGATGAGATGGGGGTGGAGGGGCTTCCCATCGTCCACCTTCCCTTCACCTTCCACACCCATCAGTCGCCTAGTGAGGTCCCCCAAGATACCTCGGTGGACTCTAAAACTCTGTAGAGTGCAGACAGGAAACCACCAGGCCCTTGAGGGGGCCTCCTCATGTTAAGAGAGCCTGTGCTTTCCCCTCCAACCCAAGAGCTGTGGTCCTAGTTCCACCCTGGGGGGAGAGGACCAGAGCCGCAGGACACCTGTCATTCAATAAACCTGAGGCTCAAAAGACCTTCGGAGAACCTTGGAACTCTGCCTCTTCAACCCGTTAGAAGGGGAAGTAGAAAAGACCTCACATCTGTGCGAGCCCTCCTGGGGATAATGCTGTACTGAGACATGTTTAAATCTCTCAAGAGTCCTATGAGGCCAGCATTCTTATGGCCACATCAGATATGAGATAACTGGGTCTCAGCTAAGACTCTCCCTCCTATTTCAGGGGCCAGACCCTGCAGGACCTTGCAGACCCCTGGTTTTCAGCAGGGAGGATCCAGGGGTGCTGTGCAGAGCTCAAGACATAGTAGCTCTCTTGCGGTGGCCTGCCATTTAGTCTGCTGTTTTCCTTCCCACCCCTCCCCCCCAAAACTGTAACTTTATCTGGAGCATTCAGAATCAGAATTTCTCTTTCATGAGCTTCCAGCTAAATCTAGATATCCGAGATGAGTTCTGCAGTTTCCCCAAGGGTGTGTTCCCATGTGAAAGAACCCCCATCAGCTCAGGTACCACCCATAGGTAGCCCGGCTCAGTCTCAGCTTCGTCTACCTCTCTTAGAACCCTTCTCAGCTCCTGGCAGCATGTTGGGCATGGCAGAGGTTCTCCACGAAGACCTTTTGGATGGAGAATGATGGCGGAGCAAAGTGGGAGAGAGAGTGCAAAGAGCACAGAGGAGGACATCCTGACCCCATTCCTACCCAAGTGGAAACTGCCCTCTCCACCTCATAGGCCCACCACCACTCTTGGCTGCCGTAGATGCTGTCCTCATCCAGCAGCTTTCAAGGCACCCTGCGCACCATGCACACCTACACTGACGCCAAGTCTACACTGACACCAAGTCCCTAGGACTTAACTCTAACACCAGCTGTTACCTTTCCTGAGAAAATCTACTGGTAGACAAGTGGTTGAGAAGAATTCTGGAGGCTTACCTTAAAATCTATTCTAATTTCTAAAATTTGGCCCTTCAACAATTATTAGTAATAACTTACTTGGGACCCACTTCGCTGGGTTTGTTATGCCAGCACAGTTGAAAACATCATTCTATACACAACAAACAACTCACAGCTCTCTTTGACACCCCAAGTGTTTGTCCCTGCAGTTTCCCTCTGCCCAGAATTCCTTTGTGCCGCTCCCTTCCCTACAGGCCACTATTCAGCCTTGAAGACTTAGCTCAAATGCCGCCTGCTCCACGAAGCCCTCTCTGACCACCACAGTCCACCAAATTTTTGCTCCATCCACTGCACTCTCACAATTCTTATGCATCTTTCTATAAGAGCAAGTGTTTCACTATATACTTGTGATTTTTTTCCACTCTACTTCCTACAAAAATATAAGTTCATTACAGAGCCCAGAATAGGGCTTGGCCATGGGGTAAGAGGTCCATAAATCTGGAGTGCACGTAAAGAGTATGGAAGGAAGGAAACAAGAAGGAAGAAGCTGCATATGCCAGGCACCCTCTTTACCTTCGTGTGATTAATTTTTTCCATTTGGCAAAAGCGTCTGTGCTCAAGGCTTCCTCCACCTGCTTCATTTTGCCCTCATCGGGAAGAATGAAGGTGGCAGTGATGTTGCCCTGGTAGGGCATTTCCAGGACCGTGCAGGAGAGCTGGTCGTCATGGCCAACTTCATACATGCCACCACGGAACATCATGGGCACCTTCACTGGCTTGTTTCCATCCAGAATGAAATCTTCCTCTTTAGTTACTTTTGGATCAAATTCATGTTGCCACCTGGCTTAAGAAGGAAGAGGGACAAAGTGAGATGAATCTCCTGAGGGAGAAGGGATGACTGGATCCAGCTAACCATTGGTCTCTGTCCACACAGACTCAAGGAAAGGGTGTGGATATTCTAGGATATCAGGGCAGGGCCCCAGGAATTCTTGCCCTCATGCCACGCCCTGAAGCCTTCTGGTGAGGTGGGATTGGACCCCATTTTCAGTTCCCAAAGAAGCCAGGACTAGGGCTGCTGAGCTGAGAGGGGAGCTGCAGACTATCTTAAACACAGGTGCTCCTGATGCTGAGAAATCCTCGATTGTGTTCCAGCAGAGGTGGCTAAATTATACTTAGTGGGGGCTATTTGGGTCTGATGTGAGTGAAAATGCTCAACTCTATTCTAAGTCAGCCTTGGAGGAGCTACTCTTGTGGGACTAAGAAAACTGATGGAACAGGCTGCCCTTGGGAGCCTGCTGAAGAGCAGTGAACACTCAGAGCTGGGTGTTTGGACCCCTTCTTTTTGACCCTGAGGACTCTTTGACACCATTAGGCATAAACTCAGACCTAAGTCTTTTCACACGTGCTACTTCAGAGTCCTCAGGCCCTGAGTTCAAATTCTGGCTTCAGTGTTCTAGAAGGATGACCTTGGACAAGTGTCTCAACCTCCCTGGGCTTCAGCGTCCTTATCTGCAGAATGGGCATGTTGATGGGTGCCTCAGAGGGCTGCTGTGAGGCTGAGTGGGAAAAGGCAGCACAGCTTAGTGACTGTGTATAGTGAGTGTTGAGTGGATGCTAGTCATCATCAGCATCGTTGTTGCTATTCTCTTGTTGTAATCTAGAGGATGTAGGGATTGGGGGAAATTCCAGATTCTCCTTCCTCCCTCTGCTTTGGGAAGACTGAGATTTCTGTCTATAATTATCATTCCTTTTTCCTCTATAGCCATCAATCTCCTGTGGATTTGGGAAGAACTGAACTTCCGTATTCAGGACCACGTTGCTGACAGTGCAGCAGTGATCTTGCCTGGCCTGAGGGCTTTTGGTGTCTAGATTCTCACCTATCTTGGCCAATCTTTGTGTGTGCATGTGGGGTGTGAGTGGATGTTTGTGTGTGGGGTGGGGAGTGAAGCTTGGATTTGGGAATATTCTTCCATCTTCTTTTCAGTCTCTCACCCTCAGAGTTGGGGAGTCTACAAAATATGATAAGAGACCAAGGCACCTACCACAGTGATCATCAACACCATCACCATCCTGGGTGTCTACTTGGTGTGATGGAAAGCACTAAGCCCTTGGGTCAGGAGAAATAGGTTCTAGTCCTGACTCTCACTGACTGGCTTTGTAACTCTGAGTAAGTCAATTAGTCTCTCTCTGAATTTCACTTTCCTTATGTAAAACACAGGGAAAAGAATGTCACTCCATCTCTACAGCCAATGTTGTGTTAGGATAATGAGTAATAATGAAAATGCACATATGGAGAGTGCATTCAGACTTCACAAATTTCATTCTTCATACATTTTTTCACTTTGAATCCCAATAACTGCCCTATGAGTTATGATCAAGGTGCTCATTTTGCAGATAGGAAAAGTGGGGTTTGAGAGATTAATTACATATGAATTCAAGGTCACAGAGCAAACAAGTGGCCAACCCAGGTTTTTAATCCTGGTCTACTGGCCATCCTATCCTTTCCATGCCAACATGCTCCAAGGCTTACCTCGAAAGAAAATACAATTTACAAGAAGTATCAAAGTTCCAGGGTCTATATTCTTGATCAGGTTGTTGATTTTCCCCTGGGTTTTCTGACTGACATAGTCATTGATCTGCTTCTGAGCATTTTCCAAGTTCTGGAAGTTGATGGGGACAGTATCTGCACTGTACAGGTTCTTGACATTGGTCAGAAACGTCTCCTGTGGCTGCAACCTCTGGTCGATAAACAAGGCATTCTTGAGGCTCAGCTCAAGGCTCTGGTTCCCCTGGTTCAGTCTTTGGATGAGGTAATGGAAGCCCTCATGAAGATCCTTCCCCAGTATATTCCTGAAGTTGAAGCCCTGCTTGATCTCGTCCAGGGTGGAGTCTTGGGCACCCAGAGACAGCATGGAGAAGGCTGTAGAGATGCTCAAGGGAGATATGAAGATGTTTCTGCTGGGGCTGCTGGAGGCCAGCTTCTTGTACAGCTTGAAGCCGAATTCTGTGTTTCGCCTTGCGAGCTCCTGGGCTGCCCTTCTTCCCTTCCACGCGTGGGCCTGGCTCAGAGCTCCATGATTCTCTGGAGAGACCTTAGGCTTCAGAAGACCTTCCACAGTGAGGAGGCCAACCAGAAGCAGGCCTAGGCCCAGAATGGGGTTCATTTTCCTTGGAGGTTGTCCTGTTTAGTGGTAGACCTGAAGTTAGCAGAATAAAGAACAGAAGAACCCCATTGGCCCTACCTTATCCACGGGAAGACCTGATGAAAGAAGTGAAACAGTGACTAGCGTGTGCTGTGCATAGCAGTTTACAAGTGCTTTGACATCCATTATAGCATTTAACCTTTACAGTTGCCCTGGGGACTAGAAATGATTGTCCCCATTGCATAAATGAGAGCCCTGAGTGTAGACGACAGCTCTTGTTTTTGTACCCCTCTCCTATGTCTTATAGTAACAGTATCTCAATTCCTTTGAGAAACTGCTCCCTCCACTCTATTGGATCACAATAAGAATACCCTACACTGTGGGCAGGTGACCCAGGCTAAGCCATCATAATACTCCATTCCTCTGCCACACTGGTTAAGGAATGAGAGTGTGACCAAAATCAGATTAATCAATGTTTTTCCCTGAGAATGCAAAGCCCTCTTAACTCTGGGGTGACTGACTTAATGATATGGCCCTGGAGCTGAATGTGGCCATTACTTCCACATATAGAAGGACAGAAGGAGAAAGAGATGGAAAGAGAGAAATAGGGAGACATCTTTGGAGTCCCTGGATCAAGCTTCACCTGAAGCCCATATACCTCCAATTTTCCAAGTTATAAGAACCAATAAGTTTCCCTTTTAGGGTTGGCTAGTTTGTGTTGGATATTTTTTTTCCTTATAACCAAAAGAATCCTGACTAATTTTCAAAAATAAAGGCTTTCGTCTAAGGTCACACAGTCTGTAAGTTGTGGACACTCACCTCAGGAGAACCCAGGTCTCTGGTAAACCTGCTTCCTTACACTTTTTCCAGGGAAGAGAAAGGGTAATGTCACGGACAGGAAAAGCCAAGTCTGCCTGGCCCCAGGACGGCTGTTCTTTCACTACCTCTCAGCTTTGACATCTCCCAACAAGACTGTGAGCTTTGGGGGACAAAAATTTCATTTTCTGATTTCCCTTAATCTCTAGCCCTAATGCTGCAGAGAGCTGCCAAAGTATGTTATTCCAAAGAGCTTGTTGATGTCCCTAGTCGGACATTCTTCTGTCTGTAGTTTTTATACTAATTTATATGTTGAATGAAGGCAGATTTCTTTGCTTCTTCCTCTGTTATCACTTACTATGTATTTTTCTGTAATTTACATCTTTATTTATCTGTAATCCATGGGAAATACTGCGATCCTCCACAATAAAGGCTGTTCATGTTGCCTTAGATTGGATTCCTGAGAAGCAGAGCCTGAGACAAGGATTCAGGTGTCCATTTCGTGCCCTTGGGGGAGTCCCTGGGGAAGTGAGGGAAGCAGGGCAGGAAAGAGAAGGAACTGAGCAAGGATACGGCCCCAGGTAATATCTAAGCTTGACCTGATCCAGAGGGGAGGGCCCTGGAGCATGAACCACATGGCAGCATTGACCCTATGAGACAGGGGCTGGCCTTATGGATGCAATCAGTGAGTCAGTGGCTGTGGTCTGCCTCCAGGATGCAAGGCCTGGGGTATAACTTCCGGGGTCAATTAGCTCCTACCAGCCAAAGGCAGTTTTCTGGAGAGGGGAGGGTGGCTGTGGGCTATTAGCAGCCAGTTCTCACAGCACCCCCAGCCTAGGGGAAGTGGGCCCAGCACCAACAGGGTCCGCTGCAGCTATATCCCTCGTGCCTGGCACAGAGTGGGCTCTTTCTAGTTTACTGAAAGAGAGGATGAATGAACACCAGCACAGGGCCTGCACCTAGGGAGGCCCCAAATGCCCAATTTCTTCATGCCCCCGGATCCTCTATGCCAGGTCCTGTGGAGACAGCCATCACCACAGTGGACACGGTCTTCAAAGAGCTTGTGGTCCAGTGATTGAAAATTCTACTGGATTCTACCCATTGTTTCCCATGCTCCCCTTCCCTCTTCCTAATGGAACTTCAGTTTTTTCCAGGCTCCTTCCCCTCCCTCAGGCAGCCTATGTGCCTCAGGAACAGGGGCCCCATCCCCAGCTGCAAGAGGGCCCTGATTGGGACAGGGTAACTCAACTCCCCTGTTAGTGATTGGTTCAGGAGCCAGGCCTAACCCCATCAGTGCACAGTGAGGTTCTGCCTTGATAGTCATTCAGGGAGAGGCACATGACTTAAGTGACCCGATGAGTTTCCGATGAATTTTGGGGCTCTTTGTTGGAATGTTGTGGTGCCTCCCTCTCTCTTCCTCTTGATGTCCTGGGCAGAGGGGAATAGATGTCAGGGACTACCACAGCCATTTGTCCCATGAGGGAAGTGACTCTAAGACAAAGCCAGAATGCAAAGAGTGTGCTTGCAAGGGCTTTGCAGAGAAACTGGAGCTGGGGCCACAGATTAGGCTAACTCAGAGCCCACCTACCTCTAGACTCACAGTGATGCTAGTGTGAGTTACGTGGTCAGTTACACGAAGCCAAAAGCATCCTAACAAATATAAGTATGTATTAAAAAAACAAAAAATCCAGGACTACCAAGCAGAGAGGAGTCCTGGCTCTGACTTCACTCCTCATAGCTGTGTGACATTGCGGAAAGGACTGGTCCTCTCTGAGCCTAGGCAATCTCTAAGCACCTTCCACTCCTAATGACACATTTTTTGGTAAAAATTAAAAATAGCTGGTGATGAACAAGGGCTCTAGGAACTGTCTGCAAATAGATTATAGAAGAGAAGATTAATAAAATCCCTGAGGATGTTTCAGATAAAGGAAAGAAAATAGAAAATGGAAAAGATTCAATCTCTCGGGTTAATAGGCTGGGCTGTGGACCAAGTCTGCCTGAATTAAAAATAGAAGCTTCTTGTATTCAGAGTAGATTGCTGCCTATGTGTATGCTCTTTCCCAATGCCTAGGAGTGGAGAAGTTAAGACACGTCAGTCAAGGAGCTGAGAACATTCTCAGCAGTAGGTTTACCAGCCGGGTGAGACGCAAAGCCGTTGAGCAACCCTCCAGGAGCTGAGCCTGAGTCAGGGTAGGGCGGGGCCAGAACCTGGAGCAGGGAAGGGAAAATGCTGAACGCTCCACCCCAGACACATTTTCTGGCACAGACAGCTCACACACATAGTCTTACAGCCATGCCCAGTGAGCGACCCCTAAAAGGTTTTTCTACTTGGCCAAGTATCGGGAACGAGAACTGATTATGAGATTAAAAGTCTGGATATTGGTCTTCTCCTGCTTATGTGTTCTTACGTAAAGCCTCTTTACCCTTCAGAGCCTCAGTATCTTCATCTATGAAATGGGGGGAGATAATATTTTGGCCTCCTCCCCACTAGATGCTGCCAATCACCTCACTGCCCCCCACCGCTGGGACCCAGCGCACACCTGCCGGTTCTCAGCTCCCCACCTCTATAATTTCATGTCACCGTGGTCACCAAGGGCCTCCTGCCCAGGCCCATGGAGTGCTGACAGCCTGGCCTTTCTTCCCCAGACAGTCCACACCAGCCCCGTTTCTGGGCCTCTCCATCGGTCATCACAGGCCCTACACTGACCCAAACTTGTCAGATGGGAACCAATCTCAGACGGCTAAGTAGGGTGATTTTTTTATTCCATCAATTAAAATAGCTGAGGGACTGATTATCTCCCAATAAATTGATAGATTGCCCAAGCTGAGCAATTCTTTGCTGGTTTCTATTTTAGAGCGTGTGTGCATGTGCACGTCTGTGTGTGTGGTTAGCATTTTAAATAAAATAAGTAAACAAAATAAAGCAGAAAAAGAACAAGATAGAAACTGAACCCTGAGGGGTACAGCTGGGCAGATAAAGCTATAATCAGTACTTCCATTCTTCTCTGACTATCCTGGTACTGCATTCCCCATTAATTTGAGGAAATAGTTTCCTTCTCTTATGAATAGACAAAACAGCATGGCACTGACCCAGGAGTCGTTCCTCCTGAAGACAGATCCAAACCACGTATATAGCAGGTATAAACCAGGAGCCCTCTGGACAAGCAGCTCAGTGCCTTAGGTCTACTCATGAAGAGGGCTACCCACGGGAGGGCTCTCAGGCAGGCAGCCTGCACCCACTTTCCCCTCCCACACTGTCCCAATAAACTTAGTAATTAGAATCAGCCAATCAAAGCGAGTAAGTGGGGATGACAGTAGGATGTGACAGCACTTTTGACAACAGTAATATTTGTAATTTTGCAAAGTACTTTCACACTTGTTATCACCAGTAGTTTGGGGAAAACAATACAATATAAGCACACACAGGGTACAAAAGAACTTCTCAATGCAGGGAGGTTTGGAACCATTTACTCCAGAGGGAGGAGACCTCCCCACACCCTCTGTGATGGTTTGCTATCCTATTTCTCTGCCCCGGGATCCAACCGGCAAGGAAAAGTTGACGTGGTGTCCATCCTGAAGCCAATGAGACTGAAAGTTTAGGATGCTTTGGAGGAGTTCCCCTCCTCACCAATGACTTGATCCCTAACGAGCGAGTGTCAGCCAGCCAGAGTGCCCCCGCTCAATGAGAGGCCTCTTCCTGCATAGGCTGGACACCAGTGTCCTGCCCTGCCCCGAGGAACCCCAGGCCCTGAGAACCCAGCTTTCCTCCAATCATTTCTGGAGTTACCCACAGAGTGCCCAGTCCTTGGATAAACTCAGTGGCCTCCCTTGGGCCCAGGGATCTGAGAGATCCTTCCTAACGATGCGCTTGAGCATCCTGAAAGACCAGCACCAAAGCCCTGGACTTGGGGAGACACCCCAGGCATGCTCTGGGGTCCACCTATTTTAAGGGATTGATACTGTTTTAAGAGGAGCTCACTCTAGACATATTAGAAGTTAAGTTATTATTTTTTAAATCAAGTTAAGTGGTAGTAAGACATACCCCCTTTTCCCTGTTGGAGGTGAGAGAAGACCCACGAAAGGAATCTAATGATCATTGCAATAGACTTTATCCTCCTTCTGGGAAACAAAGAGGATGCAATACTCTAAATTTGCCCTGGAGATTTCTGCCTTCCTTATCTTAAGAAATATCTCAAGCCCTCACTGTGTGCCAGGTACTGGGGCACTTAGAGCAAAGCCCAAGGAAGGGTGTGTGCTGATGCCACTGACCGACCCCCAGCCTCCTTGGAACCAAACATGGAGCTCTCACCCCTGAGAGGCAATGCCCACACCAACCCCACAGACTTCTCCAAACCCTCGAGAACTTTCCAGCTCTCTGCCTGACCTGTTCCTCCTGCCTTCAGTGACTTCGTTCCAGGATGAGGGAATACGTGAGTTGGAAAGACTGAGTGACCATCAACTTTGAGGCCACTTATGCAATAAAAAGGAAACCAAGGCCTAGAGTGAACCAAGGATCTAACCAAGGTTACAGCATGCATTTTGATGGATCAGAGTGGAAATTCAATCCATTAAGGCGATTCTGCAAAAATGCATTAAACGGGCTGCTTGACCTTTCTCCATGAAATAGTCAGTTGATGGATACAGCCTCTGTCCTCGGGGAGAGATAAAGATACACAAATAGCTCACAGACAAGGCTGACCTTGGCCAGAGCGATAGGGTAGGGGCAGACCCAAGTTAGAGGGGCCCCCCTATCTCCCAAAACAACTCCTATTCCCACACCCACCAAAGATTTTCATCTAGTAAAGCATGGGAGGTGGACATCCATGAAAAAGAATCAGGGCCTCCCTGAAGATGCCTAGGGCACTCTTCAACAGAGGGGTTTCCCAGAGTTGGAACTCCTCTAGAACTTTCTTCAAGACACCCACCCTGGGACTGTACTATGCCCTCTTGCAGTCGCAAGGGCCTTCACCTGGAATAGACAAGAAGCCCTTGACCTTTTCACAGGGAAGCCATCATACTCACAGTGCATTCAGGAGAAATCCACTGAGCCAGCCAAACGGATCTGCTTTTCTTGCTTTATTATTTATACTTCCACGGCCTCTTGGAAAAGTAGACCGAAGGCCAATAAAATTAGCTGACCCAAGTGGTGCAGACAAAAGAGGCTCCAGGAGCAGTGGCCACACCACTTCCTTGGGGGCCTCTCCTCCTCCCTGGAGGCGGCAGCATGATATTTAGACCACACCTGCTGGGCTGCGGCTTCCCTAATAAAGTCCATTCATATCTTTTGAAATTACTATATTTCCCAATCACTGTGTGTCTGGAACCTGGGGTATTCTTCAGGTAGATCAGCCTGTAGTCCCGACATTAAATATTCAACCCACACATCACCATGGTCATCAGTGGGAAGAGGGTGATAGCTGTGTTTCTTGGGGTCATTCCCTTTACCCCTCATTTTTTTTCTTTTGAGATTTTTCAAGTTCTTTACAGGTGTCAGTTCTATTACCTTAGCTCACGTGGGGTCCTTTTGGGAAAAAGGACCAAAGAGAGATGAATAGGCAATTAGATACATGGTTTCTGTTAGGGGTAACAAGAATCAAAAAGTCACATCAAGGTTTGTGGTCATTCAAGAAAATTACAAATTGTTTTCCCACTGCGTGTTTGTTGTGCTAGAGCAATGAGACTATGGTTGGTTTTTCTCCCCCACTTACTTTTCTGTATTTTCTGAGTTGTCTTTAAGGAACAGGTATTACTTTAGAATTAGTTTTTTAAAGATTTAAAATAAAATGAAATTCTTATCTTCAGGTTTGTCAGAGAGAGAAGCAGTGATGGTGTCTGAGACCCTTCTAAACCCGTGATCCTGGGATGAGAGAGCAATGAGCCTAATGTACCTATTTTCAATTCTATGTTCTCTAATGAACCCTAAAGAGCAGAAAAATCATTAAAAATTCCTTCTCCATTTAGTGATGTTTCATAATAGGTATTGTATGACCATATCACCAACAGTTGTAAACAGTGTTTTTCCTTTTATTGGGATGCTACTTTTAGCAGAGACGTGACTCTCATCCTCAAACCTATACAGAGCAGATGACCCAGCAGAGCCTTCTCAAAAAGAGGTGACACTGGCTCTTTCCCAGGCCTGGTTCAGCACAGACCAGACCAACCAGGCTGTGGGGCTGTGGGGCTCCAGAGCTGGCAGCATCAGGAGCCCCTGGAGGAGGCTCTGACCGCCACCCTCCTTCACCCTGGGAGGCAGGCCTGTCTGTCGGGATGCGTCTGGGTCAGATACACTGTGTGAGTGGATGAGACAAGAGTCCTCGCTGTCGGGCGCTGCTCACTGAGGGGTGCAGACAGGAATGCACCCTTGACAGAAGGATGGGCAGAGGGGAGGGCGGTCATCCCATTGTGGCTGAGGCTGAGATCCGGCCAGGCAGACGCTGACCCAGAATCCAGGTCTGTGCCCTGGTTTGGGAGGGAAGAGCCCTGCCCACTAATGACAGGGTGAGGCCTCTGTGAGTCCAGCGCCACACCTGCCCCCTGCCCCAGACAGTCTACTCTGGGACCAACTCCCACGGGAGACGTGAGGGAAATGCCAAGGAGGGACAGCACGTGGCCAGGGGGTTGGGGGAAGCCCGCTGAGCCACACAGGGCTGTACTGGGGACACCTGAGCTCAGACAGTGCCCAGAGGCCAGTAGGCTACAGTGGAGGTAGCCACAGGTAGGCTGGAGGCCAGGCCAGGCACTAAATCTCAGTGAGGAGCTGCCCATCCTTGCCGAGGAGAAGAGCTCTTGGAGTCCTGCATCAGCCAAGGTAGTCTTGCAGGGATGGGAGTCCATGGGGAGCAACAGGGAGATGGCTATGGGAGGACCAGCCCCCTCCCAGCACCCATCAAAGGGTCACAGCCTAGATGTGAGGCTGTCCCAACCACCTACAAATGGGAAGACTCGAGGCCCATGGATTTGGGCCCGGTGTCCATCATAGGCCAGGGGGGTGAAGATGATTGTCCAGTCTGGGGACATTGCAGTGAACTGATGGGCCAGAGGCAGTGGCCCCCAGCTGGGTAGTGGCCTGAATAAGTTTTTACAGCATGGCTGTGTGCAGGGTTGAGAGGGGAACAAGGAGTCTCCAATTTCACCCTTGCTCTTCGGTTCTCCCAGATGCTGGGCCTGTGAGAGATCTAGGAACATATTGATGACCATGCCACACCCTGACTCCAAGAGCCCGGGTCTAGTGGGAACACAGGAGAGCACAGAGATACAGCCAAGCTTGGTAAAGGCTGAGGTGGAGGTAGCTCTGGCAGGTGAGAGCATGCAAGAGGCACCTGATCCCACCTGAAGTGCTTGAGACAGCTTCATAGATGGGGCACTCTTGAGCTGGGTTCTGAAAGATGAGTAGGAGTTCTCTAGGTACAAACCAAGGGCAAGAGTAGCACAGCAAAGATCCTGCAGCCTGGAGAAAGTGAGTGAGCAATCTAGCACCTCTAGAAAATGTGACTTTGGGCTTCTGGTTCCTTTTCTGAAAAGTGGGAATAACCTACCTCTAAAGCAGTCATCTCAGCCCCGGGAGCATATTAGAATCACCCAGGAGCTTTAAAAACATACATTCCCTGAATATCTCTCCAGAGAGTCTGATTTAGTTGGTCTGGGATAAAGCCTGCGTGAGGGTGCCTTTAAGAATCTCTCCTGGGGAATATAATGAGCATCAAGGGTTGAGAACCTCTGCTCTAAAGCAAGTAACTTCCACCTGATGATTGTAGGAAGGATCTGGGCCATCTCTGAAAACACCGAGCTTCCTTACACCACCAGATATCAAGAACTGCTATAAAGCTATAGCAAGTGAGACTGAGGTATTGGCACAGAGATAGACAAACCAAACAATAAAACAGACTGGAGAATGCAGGACAGACTGACCCAAGAAGAGCCACCTGGTGTGACAGAGGCGCCACTGCAAATCAGTGGGGAAAGGATGGCCATCTCAACAAATGGTGCTGGAAATGCTGGATATCCACAGGGGGAAGAATGAACCTTGACCCCATCTCACTCCGTGTACGAAAATTGATTTAGGAAACCACAGACCAAAATGTGAAACGTGTTAGAATGAACCATATGCAACTGCTGATATTCAATTATTTTTTACCTCAAAAACCACAATTATCAAAACAAGCTTCTAGAAGAAAATATAGTAGAATACCTTTGTGATGTTGAGATAGGCAAAGACTTCTTACACAGCACACAGAGTACTAAGCATAAAAAAACTAAGCTGAAATTCATTAATTAATAACATCTGGGGGGCTGGCCCAGTGTCGCAAGTAGTTAAGTGCGCGAGCTCGCTGCGGCGGCCCGGGGTTCGCCGGTTCGGATCCGGGTGCACACCGAAGCATCGCTTGGCAAGCCATGCTGTAGTAGCGTCCCATATAAAGTAGAGGAAGATGGGCACGGATGTTAGCTCAGGGCCAGTCTTCCTTGGCAAAAAGAGGAGGATTGGCAGATGTTAGCTCAGGGCCGATCTTCCTCAGAAAAAAATAAGGACATCTGTTCATCAAAGGTCACCTAAGAAAGTGCAAAGGTAAGTCACAGGCTGGGAGATGGTACGTATAAGATGTATGTCTGATAAAGGACTAATACTTGATTTTTAACATTTCTAAAATCAATAAGGAAAAGACAACTTAAAAAATATGCAAAGACTTGAACAGATACTTCACAAAGAAGGATACCCAAATGGCCAATAAGCATCTGAAAAGGTGCCCAACATCATCAGTCAGCAGGACTATACGAAATAAAACCACAAGATACCACTACACACACACCAGAATAGCTAAAATTAAAAGGGACGACAACTCCAGGGTGTGGAACAAGTGGACTCTCCTCCACGCCTGGTGGGTGTGTAAACTGGCACATGCATTGTGGAAAATTACTCGGCAGGATCCATTAAAGCTAAACTGTGCTTACCCTTTGACTCATTAATAGGACCGTGGGGTGTAGACCCCACAGAAATGCGTGCTTGTGGATTCACAAAAGTCGGATACTGGAATGTCCATAGCGGCTTTCTGTGAGAGCCCCAAAGTGGAAACAACCCAAATGTCCATTAGTAATAGAATGAAAAAAAAAGAGATTCCAGCCACCATCCGAGATCATCATCTCCATTTCCATGGTGACCCCACGATTATGTTTTTCATGGGATCGCCAATCGACGCTCATGACAGGTTGCCATGGGAGACAATGACCGCGAGTGTGAAACACCATGGGGCCCAAATCACATTAGAGCAAATAAAACTGAACCTCCGAGCAATAAGGTGAAGCTTGAGTTAATGCAAACATAACTTTATTCGCTAAATTAAGCTCCAATTGGTGCATCATAAATGATTTCAACAGAAAACTAACATTTTTAAAGCAATCTCACACAAGATCCTAGGTTACCCCAAGAAGTTTCAGTACAAAATGTTGAAGGTCTTTACGTTCAAAAATCTAAGCAAGGAAGAAAAATAAAGAATGGAAATATATACATATATATGTCATAAAAAATTTAGAAAGCATTCTGTAAATAAAAATCATTGCATACAAGGATGGCCTTTCAAAACGATGGAGAAAAGGTAAACAATTCTATAAATGTTATCAGGAAACAAAAATCATTTTAAAAATAAAATTAAATTTTAAAAAATTAAAATAAAAAGTATTGGAGGAAAATCTTTTTATAATGTTAGCATGGGAAAGAACTTCCTAAGCATGATACATACAAAAGACAGAACCCATGAACGAAAAGACAGATATAATGTATTAAAATGTATATATGTGTGATATAATGTATTAAAACTCTACAGCATACACACAATAAGAACCAATCACGGTTTGGAACATGTGTGCATGATAGAGAGCTAACATTTTTGACAATGGAAAGTTCTTATACATCGGTAATAATCATAAATATTCCTTAATAGACCGGTGAAGAAGGTGGGAAAATATGCATTGAAACAAGGGTGGGGAGTAGCTTTAAGTCTCTTCTTTATCTCATTCTCTTTATCTTGTTCTCTTCTTCATTCTTATCTCTGCAGAACAAAGCACTTTCATACACATTATTAGTAGATACGTTTACTGAGAGATATCAGGTATTTTTCACATCAACTTTGTAAATTAGGTGCTGTTAGACCCATTTTACATATGAGAAAACTGAGGTTTCTATAGCCAGATAGTTAGTAGACCCAGGACTCAAA